ACGTGTAATTTAGAAGAGATATATCCCTCTCACTGTCATGATAAGGTTCAGTTTCCACACTTAATCACTCATGCTGTTTCCAGTTTCATAAAATAGCCAAGAACTCATCTCTAAGTATTCCTCGTTTACTCTTTTTCAATTTCTATTTTGGGTCATTTGTTTCTTCCTAAGCAGTTACTTGTTTTAGTTTTCACTCATTTTCTCATTGAAAATACTAATTTATAGCAAGTTCATTTTAACCTCCTTATACTTCACTTTCCAAAACAGATGTCTCAGTGATAACAGCCAGGGTACATAATAAAATTACTATGTTTCATACAGCTGTTACATTTTTTAAGATTTTCTTTTTGCTTCTGAGGTATCTGAAGCCTCACTCTTCAGGTCTCTATAGTGGAAATAAATTATTATCTTTCTCTGTTTAGTCACTATTAATAAAATTATTTGTTCAGCATTGTATATGATACGAATTAAATCGTTATAACTGATGCCAAGCATTCAGAAACCAGAACTAGGGGTTGAATTGGATTTAAATTTCTTCAGATCTAAAGGCTTGACATTCCCAAGTCAATTTTCTACTAGTGTAACTCCACTGATTTCAGTAAAATCTTTACAAATGTAGCAAAACTGAGAGTAAAATTAACCACAGGCTTTTGCTAGACAGTAAATCATTGCAGTTGTTTCTATTAATTCTTCAACTTTATATTCCCCATTTAAAAAGTACTTATTTTAAAAAATTTATGTTTGTCTCAAAAAAGTAGATATTTCCACTGTTACTTGTTAATGATAACACAGATTTATAGAGGGTTTTTTCTTTGACCATTGTTTCACAGAGCTGTTAATTGATATAAACAGCACCTTATGTTTCCTCAGGCTTTATATTCAAGTATTTTAAAGAATTATCCAGTACGTGTTGTACTTTTACTTGAATCAGGAGTTCTTTTATTAAAATAGATAACCCTATATTTTAACATTCTTTCAGTTACTTCAAACATTTAAACAAAGGATTCTTAATGTAGAAGTTTTATAACACAGACTAAGTGCAATCAGCATAAAGATAATTTGACAGCCTTCCACATTGCTGAGTAAATGAGGCATAACCTTAAATATGAAACTTAGAGGCTGGTGATTTCTTTAGACTATAGTAGAGAATTTATGACACTTCCTTTGGGAGAAGAATATTTTTCAGGAAATTATCCCATCTCCCATAGGCACAGCAATTTTTTCCTAAATATTCTTACATTATCGGCATGAGCAAGTGTTTCTCACTCTCTGTAGGTGTCAGAACAGCAACAACAGAAGTAAATTTTGTGTGAGGTGTTTTGGAGTTGTTTTTCACATCTGCTTCATGAACTCGACTGCATCAACTAGTGTCTACTATTTTATGTTCTAAGAACTATACTGCTGACATGATCCTAGAAATGCTGAAGAGTGTCTGAGTACAGGAGAATTCTCCCATCAATGGACTTTTAAGACCTGCAACAAAATTTGATTAACATCAATCACTCTGAAGCCATTTCCCATGGCTTCACAACTTTTTTTCAAGCATGGGGTGCTTCAAATAAACAGCAGATGGGAGAACATGGTTTGTATGACTTTTCACATAGATCTTAGGGCTGGGTCTGGCCCTTTATTTTTTGTCAGAGAGGCATACTGGATTTCCAACAGCAGGTATAAATGTGCTCTAAATAATGCACATTTACACACAGTACTATAACTTATAAATAACTATAGAATAATTTATAAATAGTGTATATACTTAACAAAATTGTGATAAGCATACATTTAGTAAAGCTTTCCAGATTTAAACCAAGGTAAGGCTTACAAAACTCCAGTCTTGTTAAAGTATGGCAGAGCAAGAAAAAATGCTGCCAAGATAAGCTGAAGGTTCAGTGGCCCATTTTAAAAGCATTCTCAGGACCAATGGTCAGTAGTTGCTTGGCAAAACAGCGAAGTTCGATCAAGAACTTAAGACTGAAAGAATGTTGTGTCTCTAAATAAAACAGGCTAATGCATAGTTTTCCAGCTATTTAAGACATTCCAGTAACAGTCATTAGATAGTGTGGATGAAAATTCCTGCAACCAGAAATCAGAGTGATTCTTCTCAGATAAGTCTCCAGGGCACATAATCAAAATTCTCTTTCTCTCTGACATTATTGCTGTGCTATTCACTGGTATCACTTCAGCAAACAGGATGAAAATTAGTATCTTGCTCCAGAGATGCCCTGATTATCTCCTAGGTATTTCAATGTAGTACATCCTGGATTCTGCCTCCTAATTTGTGAATGAGCTCTGTTAAGGACTAATAATCTTATCTAGGGGTGGAAAGAGAGAAGCATGTCCACTCTATCCTCAGACATGTTTTTAAAAAGCCTAAAAACCCATTTTACGCGCATGCTGATCTTTTAATGTATGTTAAACATTCTCACAAGACATATTTTTACCTAGATTTTATGCCTTTTTTTAAAAAAATCCTGAATGCAGTTCTCAATTAAAGCAGCAGCAGGAGTTTAGGACAGAATAAAAATTAAAAAGTCTTCACTCAGCCCTGTTTGGTTGTAGACATCCTCATTCCAGGAAGTTATAGAAGCTGAAAGTTTTACAGTCAGGTTTTTTAGGCATATCTTTAGTCCAGCTGCACATAGATCCTGGGCAGTATAGCAGAATAGCTATTTTATATAGTAAAGTAATTCAACTCTAGGCCCAGCCTAAGAGATTTTAAATGTAAGGATACCACATACCTGTAGAGACTAAAGCTAGAACTTTAAAATTATGTGTTTAACAACAAATTAAACATGGTTAATCTTTCTTAACGTGTCTGCAGACATGTTTCTTAATGTGTATCCTTCATAAGAAGGACTTTATCTGGTTGCAATAGCTCAGATCAGCTCTCATAAGCTTAACTATGCAGACAAACACCAAAAATGAGACAGCTACAAATTTCAGTTCAGGGGCAAAAGCATGAGGCAGCTATTCAAAACATCAGATACAGCAGATGTAAAAATAATGTTGTGACAGAGACAAAACGAAGCAGTATTTTTTGAACTATTTCAAAATGTTCATGTACACTTATTAGAGTGGAAAGAAAAATCTAAAAGAACTTGTCATTGCTTCAACTTGTCATTTTAAACGTGATAATTACACAGTAATTTATCACTGTCTCATATTTTAAAGTAAATCAAAGTGAATTTATACTCTGAACACAAATGTGTCAGAACTTCGCATCAAGTAATACCTTTTTCATTACATGGAAGCAGATGTTGGCAGTAATCTCAGTAACAGAAAGCCACCTAAGACAAAAGCACTAAAAGGACACCAAAAATGTGAGATTACTATCACCAAATATATTATTTTCTTCAATATATCATTTTACAGCTCTTACTTCTACTGTATCACAGAATTTTGAGTCTGATAAGTCAGGGACCAAAATGTCTGGTTACAACTCTATAATACTGGCTTTTTGAGGTTTCCAGATATATCTCAGCCTGGTGTTTATTACTTTATTGTTGACTTTCATGTTTTACTAACCATGTTACCATATCCCTTTGAATCCTAATGAATACCAAAGTGAAAATGTATGCCCAAACAAAGTATAAAAAGTTCAGAAGGAAGGGAAACTTTTATGTGTTTATGTGTGCATGTCTGTGGTTGTACATAAGTAGACTGATCTTTTTCTTTTTCGTGATTCTACCCAAATGTGGGGAAGATTTCAACACAGTATTTATGTAAACATATGTACATATATTTTTGTATGAGTAATTTTACCTATGTATATAAATTTGTTGATTCCAATTTTCTATTCCTGCCTTTTCTTTAGCATCAGTATGACCTCACAAAGGAATGTCTTTGGTTTCTCTCTTTAACAATTTTACAGTTGTTATAGACAGACTGAATGACTAAAATAAAAACTTCAACTGATATTTATATTTAGTCTCTTACTAGAAAAATAAGACTTTTAACAGATTAGGAAACTCAGTTAAATCAAGTCATATTTTAAGGCAATAAAAAAGATTCAGGATTTTTTTCCTGCAATTTCCCTGAAACCAATCTTTCATACTAAGCACCTGTAGTCGCTAATGTAGAAGAAAAACAATAGTCATTATTTCAGTGAGCTCCTGTCCTCATACTTACTGAACGATGCAAGGGCTCTATTTGGGGTGGATGAAAGGAGAAAAAACATAAGGCTGTGACGCAGTACTGCACCAGAGCTCCTGCTAGCTCTATGGTGTTCTTTTGCACTCCGGCACAGGCGGGTGCCAAGAGCGGGGAATCACTGGGGATCAGGCTTTTCCCTCAGCGAAACCTCCAGAGTCCTGGGCCGCCCCAAGCTCTGTGGTGCACGGCGTCGGGGTGGAGGTAAGAAAGTAGAGGAGCCTCTCTTGAATTGAAGTTCACAGCAATGGTTTTATTAGGTCGGGGAAAACAAGGGGTGCATACCGGAAGGAGTCAGGCCCAAGACAACCCAAAGCAGCGCTGTGCAGGGAGTTAAGTACAGCCTGATCTCCAGGGGCAGGTACAAACCATGGACCAATGGGGACTCTCGAGGGGAGGGGATCACAAATTCAGGGCCAATAGGGATACAAAGAGGGAGGGAGCAAGATGCACTAACCAGTGGGGCCTCGAGTGACAAATGATTGACACAGAACAGTCTGGAAGAAGGGGTGGGTTTTACAATGATTGATAGGGAGTAGGGGCAGGGCTAAGGTGACTGGCAGGGAACATTCCAGAAAAATAGGAGGGGTTAACGTAACTGACAACTGGGGCCAAACCAATACAATCAATAGGGGGAAACAAGAACATACCAACAAGCTTTAACAAACTTTAGCAAAATTAAATAAGCACACTACAACAAGGCTGGGCTAGAAATTGGGTGGAGAAAACTCAGAAGCTATGAAGTAGCATCGTGGAGGGAGATAGGGTTGGGGTCTGCAGATACATTCAGAGAATAAACAGTACAGAACAGGGGGGTGTAATGTGGGATTCAAGCATCTTGCTGTATGCACAAACAGTCCAATGTAATTCTGAAAGCTGCTGCTGCTGCAGTCTCCCAGCAAACTGATCCCAGAGCTTCTTTGCGAGGTATAGAAGAGATTTGGTTGACTTTTGATGACATAGCATGGACTTAGGAGTGGTTGTGAGCCCAGGCATCTGAAGGCTGCACACAATGTTTCAGTTGGAAGTGACTGTAAGGAGTCATACCAGTCCCTCCTCCTGGATGTGAATTCACCTCTGTACTGTATAAACTGGGGGACTCTGGGGGAAAAAATGTGTAAAATCACAACTAAAAATATATATGAAAATTCTGCACCTCTTAAGGTTGCTTTAATTCTGTTTTTTCTAAACTCTTGCATGTCTAACTTGTCATTCTTAATTACTGTTTCCTATATGGCATTTATAAAAATTCACTGTGCTATTAGCTATAACAAAACAAACATAGTAACAAAGTATATTTTAGTTTTCTACTAGTCATGTAAAGATGCATTGCAAAACATCTGTGGGTTAGATAAAGTACAAATTTTAAATGCCAATGCTTTTTCATGTTTTTGTACAAACATTTGGTGGGGGAGTCAGGTATAAAGTGAGAAAGAGAATGCCTTTCTGCATTGAAAGAGAAAAGGAACATTTCCCTAACACAAGGTAACACAAATACTCTTTAAATTGCTAAAAATGGACACTAAGCATACTGAACTCAAAAAAAAAGAAAAAAAAAGTAAAAGTAGACAAACATCTATAAATGAAAAAGAGAAAAGAGTGAAATGAGATGTGACTACTTCTGAGCGCAGGGATTTTTAGGCAATATATTCATTTTCAATAGGTGTCAGAGAAGTAAATGTTCCAGAAATACAGGAGCTGAAAAATTATCCATCATCTCTCCTGGTGAAACAAGACCTAGCTAGAGGATGAAATACAATGAAATACAAGTTGTAAGTTGACAGTGTGGACAAGGTCATACTACTGTGCAGTTTCAATAGCCAAGATGAGCAGCATGTCCTCTCTTTTACCCAGCATCTTAAGGAGTAAGATCTTAAACTTCTCACTATGACTGTCTGGTATGTGAGTACAGAGAGTACACTTAGAAGCAGGAAATTCCTGCAAATGAACTGCATTAATTTACACCATGCTTCTTTTTTTCTCCAGGAGAATGTATACTCACGTAGCCAAAACAGGACTAGCCAGAAGCTTCTCATGGGTTTTTGGAGAATCTTGGTGGGAGATACTAATGGGAAAAGAAAAAAGAAAAAAAAAAAAAAAAAAAAAAAAAAAAAAAAAAAAAAAAAAAAAAAGGGAGAAGTTACAAGTCTAATTCTAAAAATGTTATATTGTTACAATGGTTGGAATAAGGCCTTTTGACATGGTTGAAACTTTTAAATTAAAATACTTTGCTCTTTCTAAAAACATTTTTTCAATTGAAATTGTTTACTTAAATACATTTATTTGAATTTAAACATAAAATGTCAAGTGAAAATTATAGTAATCATTAGTGTTTGAAGTGAAACATTTTTTTAAATTCCATTTAAGAAAAAAATTTAAATCTCTCCACCTAATAACATTTTGTATTTTTTCTCAAGGGTTTTTATGTAGCATCAGGCCAGAACTCCAACTTCCAGAAACTTTTCCAAAATTTTATGCTACTTTATAACATTTTCCCTCAAACACAACCTGTATAGATAAAATTTTACCAATGAGTGAATAATAAATATTAAAATGAGAAAATGATTAATTAACTTTTAGACTATGAAAATAGATTAATTGCTTTCCAAACAACAAATTCCCATACCAAGTTTACAGTGCAGTAGGGAAGAGCTGCAGGCTCAGTCCCTTTTTGTGGCAGCCCTCTTGAAGCATTCTTTTTGTCCTGCTGGTGGCTGCTGCTGCAGGGATAGTAGCTCTTCTGGCTCCTTAGCATAGTTTCCATGGCAAAGAGCTGAGATGGGATACACAGCATTCACAGGCACTTGTTGCATTTATTAGTTCTTCAAGGGAAGACCAGGACACGTAGCACCATAGTACAAGAGAGATGTGGAGCTCCTGGAGTGGGTTCAGGGGATGGCTACGAAGTTGGTCAAGAGACTGGAGCCTCTCCCTTAGAAGGAAAGGCCGCAGGAGCTTGTCCCTCCCTAAGAGGGGACCTCAATAAGTGTCTGAAGGTGAGATGCCAAGAGGATGGACCAAGATCTACTTAGTGCCAAGCAAGAGACAAGAGGGATTGAGTGGGAATTGAGGCACAGGAAGCTCCACCTGAATCCGAGGAAGAATCTCTTCACTGTGTGGGTGAAGAAACACACTGAAGAGGTTGCCCAGAGAGTCTGTGGAGTCTCTGTCACTGGAGATATTTAAGAACTGTCTGTACGCAATTCTGTGCCATGTACTGTGGGATGGCCCCTGCTTGAGCAAAGAGAAAGAATGAAATGATCCACTGTGATCCCTTCCAACCCCACCCATTCAGTGATTCTGTGATAGTTTAACTAGCTGTTTAAATACTCTTGCAGTAGGTGGTTTTACAAATACAATTAAACCCAACCAATAGGTTTCTAAATTATGGTTTTTTCAGTCTCTGAAGATTCCAGTGCTGAACAAAATATACTTCAAACTTTACAGTCATTATTGCTCGAATAAGTTTAATTTACTTATTATTTTACTGAAGTAGTGAATCTCCTAATTTAATTCAGGTAATTGTACTTAGAATTAAGCTGTTGAAGAATTTGAGTATGGACTTCTCCCATGCACAAGTATTACAACATTCAAGCTTTACAAATTAGCATATTTTTGGGCATTGGTTTTTACACTGTTAAAATATAAATATAAATTCTTCTCAGCAATATGAGAGTATATACTTGCATGAACAGAGCTGTATTGTTTTAACTTGCATTTGATAGGTGTGAATAATTATTTGCTGGCAAAGTTAGACAGTGTGTGCTTCATAAGGCCTGCTGTGGTATCAAAAGTGACTTAAATAGGATCACCAGAAGCTGATAACCTCATGGGTGAGATTAGATGCTGTTAAACCCACAACTAATACCGAAACTGCACTTTCTTTTTATGCCTTGGAATAATAATGTTTCATTTGATTTTTTCCTGAATCAGAAATGACAAAGGAAATACATGGTTATATTATCTTCCTTACAGATGACTTTTTCACAAGGTGAAAGAATGTTTATGCAAATAAAGATGCAATTATTGTAGCATTCAGCCAGGAAATAGTGTATGGCATTTAACTAGAGAATTAAAAAAGCTTTTGTTAATGTATGTACTAAACCAGGAAGAGTAAATGTTATGCCTTAGGAAAATTTTCCCTCAAAATAAAATAAAATAAAATAAAATTTTTAAAAAATAATAAAATAAGAATTTTGTTTGGGTCAGGAAAACAACAATGTAGGTAGGATGTATGCAATTTGTAAGCTCAAGTTCAATATTCAGAAAGAAATTTCAAACAAACATCATGCATTAGAGAGTTGTTAACACAACAAACAAGTTTCATATTTCAAAGCAGCATTTTCTGAAAGGATAAATTTTACTATTCTCAAGATTTTTTTTCCTTAATAGCCAGTTCCCTACCTGTTGTTTATTGTGTCACCTGAAAAACATATATTTTCCTGAATACAAAAGTAGATATTCCTCATCTCATTTACTGGAAACCCTTCTAAGTAAATGGCAATAGAGCCCTGCTCCTTGGCTTGCATCCTGCCTCTTTCAAACTTGCCAGCCTACATCTCACTACTACAAGGATCTTAGAGAAAATCTTGAGTTTAAACAATAACATGTTATGTTTTCACCCCAGACAGAAACCACACAGCCACTCGCCCACTCCCCCATCATGCCCGTGGTGGGATGGGGAGGAGGATCAGAAAAAGTGAACCATGTGGGTTGAGAAAAGAACAGCTGAATAATTGAAACAAGGTAAAATAATACTATAATAACAATAGTAATTGCAATGAAAAAGGAGGCAACACAAAGAAATAAATCCCAAGGAAGACAAGTGATCAACAATGCAACTGTTCATCACAAGCTGACCAATGCCCATCCTGTTCCGTCCCCCCTGCAAAAGCAGCAATTGGTCCCTTCTGGCAACCTCCTCCCAGTTTATATACTGTTTATAATATTCTGTGACAGAGAATATCCCTTTGGGTGTTTGTGCCAGCTGTCCTGGCTATGCTACCTCACAGCTCCTGGTGCACCTCCTCACTGGCAGAGCAGGGGAAATCAAAAAGTTCCTGACTAAGGATAAGCACTACTTAGCAACAATTAAAACATCAGTGTACACAGCAGCTGGAAGAAAATTATGCCAGATTTTCCCAGCCACTGGAAGATAATCAACTCTGTCCTAGCTGAAACCATGACATAATGAAAGATTTCTTCATCTCACTTTGCTCTTGGAAGCTTTTGGACATTTAATGAAAAAGGGGTATGTAATTTGGAAGAGAAAAGTGTTGGTCATTAATACCTACCACTACTGTCAGTTGTAGATTAATATGTTTATACTCAAACAGAAATAAATTAGGGCCACTTTTTTAGCTTTGCTTAGCAGACTGCTGCAATTTAATTTCAGTTTGTTATTTCCAGGTTTTAAAATTCTCAACCAACTGTGACAACATTTCCCTATTTCTTTATACTGGGAACACAAAATAGTTTCCCATCCAGTTTATTCTCAAACCTTCTTGAATAATCACAAGAGGTTTGTCTCAGTATAAACTGATGTTGAGCCAGACTAACAGCTCCCATGCCAATTCTCATCTCTCTGTCTGCACAGATGGAGTGAAAGGACTTCCCTGTGGGTTTTTGGCAGCTAACATAATCAGATCACCTAACAATTGCTCCAATTTTTTACAAGAGGATGTTATCTTCTCCGAAATATAATTACCTATTCAGAATTCCTCCGATTATTTCTTAAGAAATGCCTAACATTTCAATGCCACTTTCAATGAAGTATATCAAATATTGTTGCAGCAAAGTGGGTAGTACCATGTCTCGTTATGATTTAACTTCTTTCTGTTAAAAGATCTTATTTTAATTTCTTTGGAAACAAAGAACCAGACAGATAAACAGGACAACAAAACATGCATTTTTTTTCACTTAAATTAGGTTTTAGAAAAAAAAAATAAAAAATCAGAAACCCACAGATCTCACAAGTCCAGATCTGCAGCTGTGAAAATTAGTACTACACTGTGTTTCTGAGGGTCTAAGCTGATTTATGCCAGCTGAGAACTTGGCTTGGCTCAAAAAGCTGGGGAATCAAAGATGTCAGTCTACTCTGAAAACTTTCCTTAAATAGCAGATCATGTAATCTAGGGGGACAGAGGAGCTTTCATTCAAGTCCCTCATCTGTATAGTCTCTTATTACCTGAGAAATAGAGATAGCAGATACACTTTTCACTTCATTTTCAACATATCTCAAAAGGAAGGCATATATCCTTTCTCACAATGTGACAAAGGAACAGAAAATGTTCTTAGTCTGAAAAGACAGCCAAAACAAGCTGAATAAATGCTTAGATATCTGTCTGTTTAATTTTTATTTGCATTAAATGGTCTAAATCCCAGTCATCAGTAATGCTTTGTCTTAATTAACCACTGTACTACTTTAGCTGCATTTCAGTATACATCCACCAATGAAGAAGAAAACTACATCACTATAAACTAAATCATTCTTTATTCAAATCCTCTGATATCTGCTATCTCTAATCTTTACATGCCTACTGAATTCTGATACATATTATGAACTTTTGTTTTATTATGTACATATAGAAGCAGTCATATGCTGTGCCCTTCTCTGGGTCTGTGCACACTCTCAATTATATATACCCTATCTGTGTACACATACTGCAATCAGCTCCCTGTTCAGCTTGGTTCTTATCAGATAATTGCTCAAGTGTAAACTGTTTCCCAGGTCATATTTTAGCAGGTTTCTAAGGATATTTAACATGCTCAAAGCTGCCTATTTTTGGCTCCACATTGTGAGTCTATAATGTAATTTTTTTAATATACTTAATGCTTTATATGATGTGCTGAAAATAAGTATTTAATTTGCACTTCAGTTTACAGGCATTTATTGTACAGTGAGAATCAATTGACTGCTACAAGGACCCTTTTTATGATTTAATCCACTCAGAAAATTCAGTTGCTATCACAATATCCTCAAAATTGCATCAATAATAAATATAGAAAGAATATGTTCTTAGCAACGGGTGTCTAAAAAACATGAAACAAGACATATAAAGTTAACCATCAATTA